CCAAAGAAACCCAGGTCAGCACTGAGCCACAGGCCTTGGGCGACTCGTCTTCTCGACAAAGGTGAAGTTCTCCCTTCGCCTGTCCTGTCCAATTGCAGCTTGGGAGGAGGAAGGGCATCCAGCCTGGACTAATCCCGATGTTCATCGAACAGGCGGGGAGCAGAGCAGATGCTTCCCAGTCCCACTTTCCATAGAGCGGAGCGTGATGGGTGCCGCTGCGTCCCCAGAAGCCCCTCAGCAGCACAGACCATCGGGAGGCTGCCGTTGTGTGCGCGAGAGCTCCTTTCTTTCACAAATGCATCGTGGAGAATTCCTCTGTGTTTGGTTCATTATGAATATTTGAATGGTGTTAAGTGGTTTGTTCTGACGCAAGCCTGTCTCATGCTTGTTCTTAATTGTGGCTCATTAAGGCATGTTTGATGTGGAGAATGTTTTGATGTGAAAACAGATGGCTCCCCTTGCAGAGGCCTGGGTGGAGGAAGCACAGAAGACGACCACCTCCCGTTGCTTCAGCTGGATGGAAATTTTTCTTCCCTTCCCTTCCCTTTCCCTCCCCTTTCCCTCCCCGAACCTTTCTAGATTGCATTCTTCTCTCGCTCATTTGCTATGAAGAGGTCCTGCGCTGCCCGTTGGTACTAGCCCTCCTTCACTGGGCTTCACTTGCTCAGTTTTAGGGAGGGTGGAAGCAGGGAGTGGCAGGCTGGGCTTTTGCCCGAAGGTGCAGGAGAAGAGGGAACAACTTGGCTTCTGCTGGTTTAGCTGCAGGTGATGGTTGCCGAGCCGACTCCTAGCAACTTGGGCCCGAGTTCAGTTTTAAAGAGATAAAAGAGAACTCGGGACGTAAGGAAGAAGTATTTCTCCCCCACAAATCCTCTTCCAGAAGGATTATGTAAATATGTGGCTGAAGATTCCACAATAGAGGAGATTAAAATGTCACTTGCAGCAAAGGGTACAACGGATCCATCTTGCAGATGTCGGGTTAAACTTCAGCCTGTGATTAGACTCAAGAAGCTGGCCTCATCCCATTCTCCTTTGAATTTCTGATTGGGGGGTGGAATGATATAAAAACCACACAAACACACAAGATGGGCGTCACACTTAGGACCCATTACCTACAAGAGACTTGGCACAAGCCCCCCTCCCCCCACCCACCCCCGGTTTAAGGATGCGGAGGGCAGGCCTTCTGGATTTGGCCTGGCTCCCATCAGCTGCTGAAATCTCTTCTGTCCCGGGAGACGGCAAAGCTGGGCCTGCTCTGTGCCGCCTGGCTCTCTTTGGGGCTCAGCAGGGAGCCAAGTGCCTGGCAAGGCTGCCGCAGTTGGGTCAGGAGTGAGGGGGGGGTGTCTGTCAGACCTGGGTGGGAGGCAGGGAGAGCGGCTTCCACACGAGGGGATGTCGACCCCCCCACTGTCTTGGTTGGCAGAAGTGCGTGAAATACCACAGTGACACCAACCAGCTCCTCATTGTTTTATGCTGTAATTTTTTCAGAGCGCAGTTGTACTCCAAAATATGACTGCAATTCCCCTTGCCCCTCAAGCCATCAAGCGACATTTTATTCAGTCCCTATGAAAAGGGAAACTTTCCAGACAATTCCAGGGTGCCTTGTCTGCAGAAAATTCTGCAGAGGTTCTTTCAACCTTGCTTCCCCGCCCTGCCGCGGGGCTTCTCCTGTCGGAGCCTCTCCAGGTTTTCATACCAGGGGGCTTCAGGGAAAAGGTTCTGGGCCAACTGGGGAATACCAGACCTCTGCGGGAACCTTGGGTCTGCCCCGTCTGCCCCACTCATTCAGGCTGCCGTGCCTTCCACTTCACCTTCACTCGGTGGCCTTACCTGGCTGAATAGGGAGGACCTTACTGCTAAGTTCTTGGCTGAGTTCAGGTGGTCACCTCTACCAGCCAAGGCTGGGAGGCCAATGAGGATGATCCCCTAATGTGTAACCTTTATGTAAATAGAAGGAAATGCTACTTGAAGTGGTTTCCAAGAAAGATTGAACCACCACTTGTCCGAGATAGTACGTAGTCTTCTGTCTTGGGCAGGGGTTGGACTAGAAGACCTCCAAGACCCCTTCCAGCCCCGTGATTCTGATTCTCTGGATGCAGACACAGAATCATCTATGCCGCAGCAGAAAATGCAGCACAAAACCACTTTCATTGTGTTCTCCCTTGGATCAAAATGTGCTAACACGTATTTAATTTCTGCTGCTGCTGCTGTCACTGTTACTGCACTGTAGGATAGTGTTTGGCAGGGGGAGATGGCAAAGTACAAAAATTAGGTTATTATTCTTTCGTTTATATTTTTTACACGATTTGCTACACAAAGCCATTATGAAACTATAAAATACAAAACTGTGTACGGAAGGAAAACAAAAGCAGAAGTTGGCCATCAACCCCACATGCGCAAAGACGGGGGACTTCAGCAGACACCAGGGCATGTCCCAACAACTTGTAAGACACACACACACACACACCCCGCTGGTGGGCAACCTCAGGCTAGGTGACCCCGGGGACTGGACCACCGGCTCTAGGACCACCACAGTGGTCCATCAGCATCTGGGGTCCTCGGTATAGAGCAGAGGTCTTCAAACTTGGCAACTTTAAGGTTTGTTGAAGTCCACAAGTCTTAAAAGTTGCCAAGTTTGGGGGGATCCCTGGTATAGAGACTCTGCTGGGGTGGGAGGGACAAAGGGGCCAGCTGAAAAGGGCACCCTGGCACAGCCCATAACACCCTATTGATACACTGATACCATGGCCCTCATAAGGGACATCCAGGGCCTGCTTTAAAACAGTCATTTAAATTAAAAATATCTTTCCCTTTTCAAAGTAGCCCGTTCCTTTGCTCAGAAAGTATTGTCTGTTTTTGTGTTGTCTTCTAGTCAGTCTCTACTCTTGGCAATTGCCTGGTCTGGTCTCTGCAGTTTTCTTGGCAAGTTTTACCTGCATCCAAGGCCTAGGGGACCCTCCCCAGCCGAGGGGTTCCCAGCTGGCCTTGTGCCAAGGCAGGACTAGAACTCAGGGTCTCCGGGCTTCTAGCTAACACCAAGCAAAGCAATTCTGTCCTAGTCTTTGGCTTGCCTTTTTAAGATCCTTTCCTTTGAATCCTGTTTCTGGAGCAGCAGAAAACGCTCTTGCTCCATGGTCCGTTTCCTTGGAGGATGCTTGTCCCCCTCCTCCCCTCTTCCCCCCCGTCTCTTCTGCCTTCTCTGTGGCTCTGGTGTTGGGGTTCGCCGGCAGCCTGTGCAGACGGCAGTGGAATCGGACAGTGGGAAAGAAAGGGGATCCGTCTGGGAGTCTGGAGAGGACTCGGACGAGGGTCCTGCGTCCGATGCAGAGATGGGGCCAGGACCATCTGGGAGTGGGGTGCTGACTCTGGAGTCTGGCAGCAGTGAGGAAGAGGACCCGGGGGAGCCTGTTCCCAGTGCGCGTGTGTGCAGAGCTGCTATAAGGCGAGAGCAGCTGAAACAAAAGGGGCAACTCAGGAGTAAGGCTGGGAGGTGATTGCCCCTCCCATAAGGCATAAAAGTCAGGCCAAGATGACGAAACCGTTGCAGGAAGCAAAGTCGTTGGGTTCAGATTCATTCTTGAAGCTCTTTGTACTTCGATTGGTTTTCTTTCTAGTTCATTTGACACTTCTGTTTCAGCAGCACTTCACAGAAAAGAAAGGTGGGTGTTTATCTCGAGGGACTGTTTGAGATTCATTACCGGCTGGGAATGAAAATAATTCCCAGCACTGCACTAAAACAAGACTTGCTTTTAAAATAAGCATGTCCGTAATTACGGTCTCAGAAGCCTTGGTCAGAACATCTGGCCTCCCTTAGCTCCCTCCCAGAATACCCCACCCATCCCCCTTTCTTGATTTGGGGGGACGGGGGTCAGCATTACTTGGCATTCACTTGCTGCTGTGACTGCTGCCGCCTCCAGATTCAGTTTTCTAGATTTCTGGACCTGTATTGAGTCAGATCTTCCGCTGACTTCCCAAGGAGGAAGGGAGGGGCTGCCTTCCAGAGCAGGGGTCGCCAACCTTTTGGACCTCAGGGACCACCAAACTCATAATTTTAAATCCCGCGGACCAGAGACCCTGGAAAAATCCCCAAAAAAGTCTGCAGGAAAATTTCCCACCCTGTTTCCCTACCGATCGATCATTCTTTATTTGGGATTGCAGGATACCGTCTCCAGCTCCATTCTCAGGGGGAGAGAGAGAGACTTTTGGCTTCATGCAAGGAAATCAGCAGAAGTCTTTCTTCCTCTCCCCCAAACTGCCAGAAATGAGTCTTTGCCGGCGCAGCCTCTTGGAGCAGGAGGCCTTGCAGGGTCCCAAAGACTCATTTCTGGCAGAGTTTGGGGGAGAGAAAGAAAGACTTTTGCTGCTTTCCTTGCACGCAGCCAAAATCAGAAGAAAAAAGAAGTGGAAAGAAGCAGCCCGGTGGCCAGGCGAGGTGCGTGGGGGGCGAGTGGGGCAAGCTCCCCCCTTTGCCCTTCCCCCCTCCCCTCACTACCTCATGGTGTTCGCAATGCAAGCAATGCAAGCCTTGTGTTCCCACGCAGCCTGGATTAATTGCTCTGAGGGTGACATTTCTCTGCAGACCACCAACATTTTCTCGAGGACCACCAGTGGTCCCCAGCCCACTGGTTGCTGACCATTGTTCCAGAGGGCCAAGAGGCAGAACAGCTTAGATAGTTTGTGCGAGAGAAAAGGGATGGAGAGGGGTCCTCCCTAAGCGTTCCCAGAGATTGTGTTTAGTGGGAGTTTAAAGGCGTCTGCTTCAGTTTGGCAAAATTTCTGTCTGTAAGTGAGGAACATGAAATGAGCTCAGTGTATCTTGGGCTTTTGGAGCCTGGCAGGGACTTTGTGGGAATGCGGAGAACCTACTGGGTGTTCCCTTTGGGGAAGTTGTGTCTGCTGTTGCAGCTGCTGCATTGCCTGGGTCCATCCCTTGAAGGCCACCCTCCTGCTCCAGGCTCCCAGCCTGCCTGCCCTGACTGACGCCAGCCTCTGTTTTGCAGAGAGATGCCAAAGGCCAGTTCCTGTTTGACCTGCTGTGCCATCATTTAAACCTCCTGGAGAAGGATTACTTTGGGATCCGATTTGTCGACCCCGACAAGCAGAGGGTGAGTCCCGGCTTGGTGCTTTGGGTCAGCGCAGCTGTGGGCCCATTGAAGGACCAGCTTAGGGTTACCCTCACGGGACGACAGGGAATCAGTCGACAGGAACGGTCCTTATCTGATCCACGGACTTAAACAATAGCCTGCTAGTCCTTTCTAAATGAAAAGAGGGTGCATAACCTTATACGCTCTTATCAAAGAGGAAGAAGAGGAAGAAGCAGAGGGCCAGCTTGGGAATAATGGAGAATGAGGAGCCTTGACGGCCTCTCTGTCCAATGCAGACACTCAGTAGAAGAGGCCGGCTAAGCGATGGTCCAAGGTCAGAGAAGGAGCTCTCTGTGTGCGTGTGTGTGTGTGTGTGTGTGTGTGCGTGTGTGTGCTTCACCTGGGCCGAGAGAGCAGCCTTTCTTGCTCTCTGAAACCGCTTGCGATGGAAGCTCTGTTGCCGATCAAGACCCTCCGCAGAACCGCACGTTCCGCATTGACTGGATTTGCAGCAGTGCGATTCAAAGGCTCCGGGCGATAGGAAACAGCGCAAGGCAGCCTCCTTAGAGAAGACTCGGCACGGTGAAGCAGTCAAAATCAGAGAGCAGCACACTTACAACCCGCAGGAAAAACTCGCTTCGTCCTCCAAAACTCCCCGTTTTAAAAGTTTATGAAAAGCCCCAAAGAGTCGATTGAAGGGAGCTGAGGTGCCCTCCTCCTCCAGTCTGGGCCCAGCATTTGCTGCCGGGGTAGAATTGCCTGCCCAACGAGGCGAGGAGGGAGAAATCCCCAAGGATGCCAATTGCGCCGCCCAGGCGGCTGCTTTCCCTACAGAGGGGAATCTCGCCCGGAGGCCGTGAGCCCAGCGCCAGCCTTCCCCTCCCCGGTCACAGCGCCTGCTCCAAGAGGGGTCCGGAGAAAAAGTGGTTAGAAAGCTGGACAGGACACGCTCTGGAGCTGCATTGTCAGCCTTGGGACACTGCCTGAGCATCAAAATAATGGGAGGCTGGCCAGGAAAATCCACCTCCTTGGGACCCCCCTTGGGACCGTCCTATGTGGAGCTTCTGGGACAAAATAGGGCAGGGGGAGGTGGGGGAATCCCAAGTCACTTGCTTGCTTGGGTGTCCGGGATTTACAGCCACAAACCTTGCTCGCATTGCAAAGATCAGGATCTGGTCTTTTGAAAACAAGCTATAACAAATATCTCTACGAGATCTCTGCACGGCTCCTGCTCAGCCCCAAACACTTTGTAGCCAGCCCAATTTTATCACCAAAGTCAAGGGTTTTTTTGGGGGGGGGGGAGAAAGACAGTGCAGCCCCCGCCCCCTCTCTTTGCTAGCTTTTGAATCTCTCTCTCTCTCTCTCTCTCCTTCGCTTCAGCACTGGCTGGAATTCACGAAGTCCATTGTGAAGCAAATGCGATGTAAGTATTTATCTTCATGCGTTTATTTATTTATTTATCTTCAAATGTTTATTTATAGGCAGTGCCTCTAACTTGGCACTGTGTGAGGGTCTGGATCTCTGAAGGGGGAAGGGTGGGGGGGGG